GTCCAGACTATAGTACAGACTATAGTCCAGACTATAGTACAGACTATAGTCCAGACTATAGTACAGACTATAGTCCAGACTATAGTACAGACTATAGTCCAGACTATAGTACAGACTATAGTCCAGACTATAGTACAGACTATAGTCCAGACTATAGTACAGACTATAGTCCAGACTATAGTACAGACTATAGTCCAGACTATAGTACAGACTATAGTCCAGACTATAGTACAGACTATAGTCCAGACTATAGTACAGACTATAGTCCAGACTATAGTACAGACTATAGTCCAGACTATAGTACAGACTATAGTCCAGACTATAGTACAGACTATAGTCCAGACTATAGTACAGACTATAGTACAGACTATTGTACAGACTATAGTCCAGACTATAGTACAGACTATAGTCCAGATTATAGTACAGACTATAGTATAGGCTATAGTACAGACTATAGTACAGACCATAGTCCCGACTATAAAAACTATAGTCCAAACTATATAGACTATAGTCCAAACTATATAGACTACAGTCCAAACAATATACATTATAGTCCAGACCATAGCGCAGACTATTGTCAAGACTATGGTCCAGGCTATAGTCCAGACTATAGTCCGGACTATAGTTCAGACTATAGTCCAAACTATAGTCCAGACTATAGACAAGATCATAGTCTAGATTATAGTACAGGCTATAGTCCAGGCTATAGCTCAGACTATAGTCCAGACTATAGTTCAGACGATATTCCAGACTTTAGTCCAGAATATAGTCCAGACTTTAGTCCAGACTATAGTCCAAACTATAGTCCAAACTATAGTCCAAACTATAGTCCAAATTATACTCCAAACTATAGTTCAAATTATACTCTATAGTCAAGAATATAGTTCAGACTAGTGTCCAGATTATAGTCCAGACTATAGTCCAGATTATAGTCCAGACTATAGTACAGACTACAGTACAGACTATAGGCCAGATAATAGTACAGACTATAGTCCAGACTATAGTAAGACTATAGTCCAGACTTACTATAGTACAGACTATAGTCTTAATTTTTTATTTATATATAATTTACTATATATATTTTTTTATTACAGAAAATGTTTAAGCCAATAAGTTATGTATTAGTATTATTTAAACTTAAATTACGCTAAAAAAATAATTCAAAAAGTGATTATAAACTTTTCCATCCCTGATACAAACACATATGCTCGCGTTCACTTTTACAATTATAAAACTAAAATACCCATAATCCTTATTACTGCTGACACAAATTACAATTATAATTAAACTTGATCACGACGAAGATGATAATGATGTTCGCTAGTTGATGACTATTATAATGATGTCTTTCTTTCATTATTATTAGTACCAACATAATAATAATGATGTTGCTTTTAGCATCTACAGTTACCGTTAATGTTAATTAGTTTGTGTTGCGTTATTATAATGTTTGTTCTTATTGTTGTTGTATATTTGTATTTCTCCTTTTTGCTACCATTTGGTAAGTGAGTATGTATGTTAGTAATTTTGTGTAGCAGCATCATTATGACACACGACCTTGGGTACAAATATCGCGGTCTTTTAAATGAAAAATTTAAACACATTTAGTATGTGTAAGCCTATGTAAAAGCATATGTGTGTGTTTATTTAGTGTAAGTGTTTAAAATTGTTACAGCATAATTTTGGGCGTTACATTAGGATGCTAGCCAAAAAATAATTATTATTGAAAACAAATTTGTCAAAGTTAGTTTTAAGAAAAAAAAAAAACATTGTGGATTATAAATGGTCGCGAAATTATAGAACAAAAAATATGTATTTATTGAAAAATAATGACGTATGTATGTATTTTTAGAAATAGGGTCTTCTTATTCCCCATGAACCTTATTATGAAGCGTGTAACTGTATTCGATTTTTAAGGCTAGAGTGTTTATCGTTATAGTCATATAATGAAACAGCAACAATAAAGGAACCATAAAATATTTTATGAGTTTTTTGGTATAAAGGCTCTACTGTGCGTGATTTTGTTTTTACAAAAATTAGCAATTTCTAGATTACACGTAATTTATTGTTATTGCTACTTGCACAATGGTGCTATATTTTTATAAATCTTCTTTGTTTATAATTGTAACTAAATATTAATTTAACTGTTTATAGACCCACTGTGTACGGTTTATGGCATGGTTACTATACCAGGAAAAATATGTTTTTGATATTTTTCAGTATTTCACAATAGACTATCCTATATAATCTTGACTATAGACTAATCTACAGTCTTGACTATAGACTAATGTATAGTATTGGTTATATACTAATCTATAGTCTTGATTATAGACTAATCTATAGTCTTGACTATAAACTAATCTATAGTCTTGACTGTAGACTAATCAATAGTCTCGACTATAGACTAATCTTTAGTCTTGACTATTGACTAATCTATAGTCTTGACTATAGACTAATCTATAGTCTTGGTTATATACTAACCTATGGACTAATCTTGACTATAGATTAATCTATAGTCTTGACTATAAACTAATCTAGAATCTGGAAAATAAACTAATCTATAGTCCTGACTATAAACTAGTCAATAGTCTTGACTATAGACTTATATACGTCTTAACTATAGACTAATCTATAGTCTTCACTACAGACTAATCTACAATCTTGACTATAGACTAATCCATAGTCTTGACTATACTCTAATCTATAGTCTTGGTTATATACTAATCAATAGTCTTGACTATATAGTCTTGACTATAGACTTATCTACAGTCTTAACTATAGACTAATCTATAGTCTTGAATATAGAATAATCTACAGTCTTGACTATAGACTAATGTATAGTATTGGTTATATACTAATGTATAGTCTTGATTATAGACTAATATATAGTCTTGACTATAAACTAATCTATAGTCTTGACTATAGACTAATCAATAATCTCGACTACAGACTAATCATTAGTCTTGACTATTGACTAATCTATAGTCTTGACTATAGTCTTGACTATAAACTAATCTAGAATCTGGAAAACAAACTAATCTATAGTCTTGACTATAAACAAGTCAATAGTCTTGACTATAGACTTATCTACGTCTTAACTATAGACTAATCTATAGTCTTCACTACAGACTAACTACAGTCTAATCTATAGTCTTGGTTATATACTAATCAATAGTCTTCACTACAGACTAATTTATAGTCTTGACTATAGACTAATCCATAGTTTTGGCTATACTCTAATCTATATTCTTGACTATAGTATAATCTATAGTATTGGTTATATACTAATCTATAGTCTTGACTATAGACTAATCTATAGTCTTGGCTATAGATTAATCTATAGTCTTGACTATTGACTAATCTATAGTATTGGTTATATACTAATCTATAGTCTTGACTATAGACTAATCAATAGCCTAATCTATAGTCTAATCTATAGTCTTGGTTATATACTAATCTATATTCTTTACTATAGACTAATCTATAGTCTTGACTATAAACAAATCTAGAATCTGGACAATAGACTAATCTATAGTTTTGACTATAGACTAGTCAATAGTCTTGATTATAGACCAATCTACAGTCTTAACTATAGACTAATCTATAGTCTTAACTATAGACTAATCTGTAGTCTTGAAAACAGACTAATCTATAGTCTTGACAATAAACTTGTCCATAGTCTAGACTATACTCTAATCTATAGCCTTGACTATAGTCTAATCTATAGTCTTGACTATAGACTAATCTGTAGTCTGTATACTCTTATCTATAGTCTTGACTATAGACTATTCTATAGTCTCAACTTTATATTATTCTATAGTTTTGACTATATACTATTCTATAGTTTTGACTATAGACTATTCTATAGTCTTGACTATAGACTTGTCCATAGTCTAGACTATACTCTAATCTATAGCCTTGACTATATTCTAATCTATAGTCTTGACTATAGACTATTCTATAGTCTCTACTTTATATTATTCTATAGTTTTGACTATATACTATTCTATAGTTTTGACTATAGACTATTCTATAGTCTTGACTATAGACTAATCTAAAGTCTAATCTATAGTCTTGGTTATATACTAATCTATAGTCTTCACTATAGACTAATCTAACCTATAGTCCTGACTATGGATAATTCTATAGTTTCAACTTTATATTATTCTATAGTTTTGACTATAGACTATTCTACGGTCTTTACTATAGACTATTTATAGTCCATAGTCTTGACTATGGACTATTTTATAATCTCGACTATAGACTATTATATAGTCTCGACTATAGACTATTCTTTAGTCTCGACTATAGACTTTTTTATAGTCTCGACTATAGACTTTTCTATAGTCTCGACTATAGACTATTCTATAGTCTAGACTTTAGGCTATTCTATAGTCTCAACTTTAAACTATTCTATATTCTCGACTATAAACTATTCTATATGCTCGACTATATTATTAATATGTTCGTAGTCTGTAGTTAGGACAAATGTATACAAAAGACTACATTCAGTAGTCTCAACTATAATTGTTCCATAGTGTAGATTATATTCGGGAGCCTGAAAACTTAATCGGTTATTTATATGTAACATAATTTTCTCTATGTATATGAATTTTTACATGTGCATGTATACGTGTTTGTTTGCCTGTTAAATGGCAATTAACTTTTAGTTACTCTAGGGATGGTTTGTTTGTTATTGTAGTTTTTTTTTTATGTAACGATTATTTAAAAATTTTATTTTTTCAAAACTACTATCAGGAGACAAATTTATATTTGAAAGCATACTATGTTAAACTGTTTATAAAGTGACCTTACATTGAAAATAAAACCAAAAAAAAAAAAAAGAACAAAGCAGCACATGGTTTATTTCAAATTAATGGGGTAATTGCAGAAAAAGTTTAACGTTTCACACTAAAACTATTTGTTTTAAATACAAATTTTTAAATTATTGTTTTTATTTACACTTAATAACACCTTTTAAATTTTTTTTCTATTTCCAGGTGTCGGGCCCCTATAGCATCACTCGATTGCATGGAGGAGTTCAGTGGTACGGGAGGTCATCTTGATTTCGGTATCAAAACTATAAAAATCACTATTTAATTTACTCTTTAATTTGTTGTTCTTTCTTTATCTTTATGTATTTTTTCTATGTAATTTATGTTGTTTTGTTTTTGTTTTTTGAAAATTTGTTCATTTAGTTGTTAATATTTTACTAAATTGTGGTTGTTGTGTAATACTTTTTTAAGTTGTTTAGTTGTTGTTTGTATTTAAGAAAAAGTTTTCCTGTTTTCAATGTATATTTTACTAACAAAATCATTTGGTTTGTTTTTATGTAAAAAAAATCTACTAACATTTTTTTAAGTTGATAGTTTTCTAAACAATTAAGTAAAACATTTAGGCGTTAGTAATTTTTTGGTTACAAAAATGTTTGTTAAATTTAAAAATGGTTTTTCAAATTGGGGTTTTTTTAATTGGCCACAAATCATGTGACATTCTCATAATCGCCTAAAATCATTGTTCGATACAGTTCCCATATCCCTGTGGATTAATATTACAGTGTAAATCGATTTCCACGCTACGTTCTCTAATTCAAAACAAAATTGAATTAAGAATCTAAAAAAGCAGGAGAACTCTAAACCAAAATTTAACCCAAAACTTTTGAGAAAATTTTGCCATAATACGCATTTCCATTTAGCAACATAGAAACTTTTCTTTGAACACAGAAATTATAGCGTGTTAAGTATTAAATTTTTTGTTTGACCAAAAATACACTAAAGTGTGTACTCTTTACGAATGTACGTAAGAATGAATAGATGTATTTACCTGTCATAGAATAGTCCGTCTTACTACCCGCTGATGTGGTCAGTTTGTGTGAGTCCTTGTCAAAATAGTGTAAATGTAAATACCTCAAAAAGAAATAAAATGAAATTCACATTCCATGTTTTGTAAATGTTTGAATTTATGGGAAAATGTGGCGGTGACACTTCCCAGTAGTTCTGTAAGGGGACAATGTATCCCCTTTCTGACGTTTCACATGGAGAACTTCAATCAATCATAGATCCGAAGAAAAACAACTATAAAGCTTTAGGATCACTTTATAGATCACCAAACTGAGACACTACTAACTAGCCTGTAGAGTGACTCAATAGACTAGAGGATGCCTACACTGAAATCATCAACATAACTTTGGCGTTCTCAGTAATCTAGAGTATATGAGTGTCCCCAAGTAATATAACCGGATTTATATATGATTTCACTGTCCCTTAATATTCTGGAAGGAAATCAATAGTTGCTAAGTAATGTAACCCGAAGTAAGGTGTCGCAATGGTGAACCATAGTAATATAATTTAGGATTGACTTCCAAATCATCATTTAAGTATCTTTTAGTAATCGTGGAAGAAGTCCATGTAGCGTTATCGTTATTGTTGTAAATGTTCTAAAAGAGAAACGAATGTTCAAAAACAGTACCGCAAAAATGTCGTCACCGAAATGAGTGAGTGAGTGAGTGAGTTAGTAGTTAGTTAGTTAGTTAGTTAGTTAGTTAGTTAGTTAGTTAGTTAGTTAGTTAGTTAGTTAGTTAGTTAGTTAGTTAGTTAGTTAGTTAGTTAGTTAGTTAGTTAGTTAGTTAGTTAGTTAGTTAGTTAGTTAGTTAGTTAGTTAGTTAGTTAGTAGTTAGTTAGTTAGTTAGTTAGTTAGTTAGTTAGTTAGTAGTTAGTTAGTTAGTTAGTTAGTTAGTTACTTAGTTAGTTAGTTAGTTAGTTAGTTAGTTAGTTAGTTAGTTAGTTAGTTAGTTAGTTAGTTAGTTAGTTAGTTAGTTAGTTAGTTAGTTAGTTAGTTAGTTAGTTAGTTAGTTAGTTAGTTAGTTAGTTAGTTAGTTAGTTAGTTAGTTAGTTAGTTAGTTAGTTAGTTAGTAGTTAGTTAGTTAGTTAGTTAGTTAGTAGTTAGTTAGTTAGTTAGTTAGTTAGTTAGTTAGTTAGTTAGTTAGTTAGTTAGTTAGTTAGTTAGTTAGTTAGTAGTTAGTTAGTTAGTTAGTTAGTAGTTAGTTAGTTAGTTAGTTAGTTAGTTAGTTAGTTAGTTAGTTAGTTAGTTAGTTAGTTAGTTAGTTAGTTAGTAGTTAGTTAGTTAGTTAGTTAGTTAGTTAGTTAGTTAGTAGTTAGTTAGTTAGTTAGTTAGTTAGTTAGTTAGTTAGTTAGTTAGTTAGTTAGTTAGTTAGTTAGTTAGTTAGTTAGTTAGTTAGTTAGTTAGTTAGTTAGTTAGTTAGTTAGTTAGTTAGTTAGTTAGTTAGTTAGTTAGTTAGTTAGTTAGTTAGTTAGTTAGTTAGTTAGTTAGTTAGTTAGTTAGTTAGTTAGTTAGTTAGTTAGTTAGTTAGTTAGTTAGTTAGTTAGTTAGTTAGTTAGTTAGTTAGTTAGTTAGTTAGTTAGTTAGTTAGTTAGTTAGTTAGTTAGTTAGTTAGTAGTTAGTTAGTTAGTTAGTTAGTTAGTTAGTTAGTTAGTTAGTTAGTAGTTAGTTAGTTAGTTAGTTAGTTAGTTAGTTAGTTAGTTAGTAGTTAGTTAGTTAGTTAGTTAGTTAGTTAGTTAGTAGTTAGTTAGTAGTTAGTTAGTTAGTTAGTTAGTTAGTTAGTTAGTTAGTTAGTTAGTTAGTTAGTTGGGTGCCGTTGTGCTCTTCAGTTCAAAATAATTGATTTCCCATGCAAGAGGAAATCTCTAAGTAATCTAAAAGCGGTCGTTACTTTAAGTCAAGGAGAACTTTAAAGCCACAAATAGTCACGCGACAAGTCCATTGTTACTTAACCATCCCAAATGAATATACTTAGTAGGAAGTCAATCGTAAAATAAGTACATGGTAAATAAACTAATCACACAACTAATTAACAGAATAATCCCAAGTGGTAGATAGTCCCAAATGATAGTTCGGGTTAGTCACCCTCTCTAAACTACAGGGTTTTACTTGTACCTTCTTGTCGCATGTAACATAATTAATCATTGTACGTATTTTCGGTGAGTGTAAGTAAAAAAACGAAAAGGTAAACCAAACTATTGCTACATTTTAGTTTTATTTCCTTAATGTTTTTTAGTTACTTTTTGTTGTTGCTTATTCCTTTTAATGAAATGGCACCCCCATAGTTTTGGTATCACAACTTTAACTTATTGTTGAACAAAAACAAAAAAAAAAAAAAAGAGAGAAAAAGTTAAAAAAGTTGTAAGCACTTGTTAACAACAATTTTGTTGGTTTTTTCGTTACAATTAATTTTCAGTTTTAATTTTGATACCAAACAATTTGGTGGTATTTTTTCCCTAAAATATATTTTATATTGTGTTACGTTCCTTTACGTTCTATTACTGTGTTTTGTCTTGTAACCATATTAAAGCACGTTAGATTTAAATAAAGTTAAATAATATACATATATATATATATATATATATATATATATATATATATATATATATATATATATATATATAAAGAGAAAAAGATATAAATTTAATATTATATAACCGTTTTTATATATATAGAACGCTTCAAAGTTTATCGGTTGTTTTTTTAGTTTTTCGTTAATGGTTTATTTACGTTGTTGTCCTTAAAACTTGCTAACATGTTCATTACAATTCCTTTAAACTCTTCTTCCGTAAATATAACAGGCCGCTCCATAAGTCTGGGTTCAAATCCGGCTTTACCGTTAAGGCCTGGTTCCACTCCCACACCGGGTTTGCGTTACAAGAATTTGGGCAAGAGTGGTTTACGTGTTAGCAATGTTGGCCTGGGCACTTGGCCAGTCTTTTCGCCCGGCGTTAGCGATGACCAGGCCGAAGCCATACTTAAATTGGCCATTGAGAGCGGCATCAATCTGTTTGATATCTCGGAAGCCCATTCGGAGACAGAAATTGGCAAGATCTTACAGAGGACTGGTTGGAAGCGAACGGCTTATGTTATTACCACAAAAGTTTATTGGAGTACCAAGTGAGTGAAATGTAGATTTTAATGTTTTTATGGCAAATTCTTAAATATTTTTCCATAAAACATGAAAATCTGATTAGTACTGAAACTGGACTCGTTATGTTTTAAATATTAATTTAATACAAACTTATTTTTACAATAATCTTTTGCACTTAGATCCGAAGAACGTGGCCTTTCACGCAAGCATATTATTGAGTCCGTCAAAGCCAGTTTGCAACGCCTACAATTACAATATATCGATATTGTAATTATACATAAAGCGGATGCTATGTGTCCCATGGAAGGTAAATATAAATCCCATCCATTCTGAAGTAACTTCATATAAATATTTCTCTTATCCACAGAAATCGTACGAGCTATGAATTACATCATTCAACAGGGCTGGGCCATGTACTGGGGTACAGCACGTTGGACTCAGGTCGAAATAATGGAAGCCTATACTAACTGCCGTCAGTTTAATTGTATAACACCGATAGTCGAACAATCTGAGTATCATATGTTTTGTCGTGAAAAATGTGAACTCTATTTGCCGGAAATGTATAATAAAATCGGTGTGGGCCTAATGGCTTGGGGTCCCCTTTCGATGGCATTGAGTGATGCTCAAAATGGTGAGAAGATATTTTTGCCAAAGGGCTCGTTCAAAACGAAGAGTCATTCATATTCCTGGACTGAAGATGAAGTTAATAGGAATGTAAGTGCCAGGAAAAAATAAGAAATATTCTATTTCCCTCCTAATTGAACGATTTTTGTTGTTTTGCCAGGCTGCCTTATCGCCTCAGGGTAGTTGGAATAAGGAACGCATGGAAGAAGGTCGCCGCCATTGTGATCGTTTAAAGGATTTAGCTGCTTTAGCCGAGAAGCTGGGTTGTACCCCTACCCAATTGTCAATAGCCTGGTCGTTGAAACATGAACCTGTACAATGTTTACTATTAGGTGCCACTTCTGCTGAACAATTGCATCAGAGTTTGCAATCGTTACAGGTGAGTCCAATGGTTCAAATTTCGAACGAGGTCATTTTGAAATTTTGATTATAAAACAATCGCAGGGTTTCTATTATCCGAATTTAGATTCAATTGTAAGGTTTTCTACAGTTCAGATTTCGCCTCAATTGTAGGTGTTTCCAAAGTCCAATTTTTTCTCTAATCATACATAATTCTTGAGTAAAAATCTTGTTTAACCAAAAGGGTTTTTTAAATGCTGATTTACAGAAGTGTAGTCCATAGTCAAGATTTCACATTAAAGGCAAGTCTTTGTGTTGTCCGAATCAAAGGATTTTATACGGTCCAAATTCTGCTTAAATCTCAGATCTTTCCATATACCTGATTTCATATGAATAGTGAGTCAGTATATAGTTCAGATTTCTACTGAATTGTATATCTTTCCATAGTACAAATTCTTTAGTAAAGATCTTGTTTAATCAAAAGTATTTTTAAGTCCCAATCTGCTATAATCGCAAGTCTAGCCCATAGTCCAGTTTTCACAATAATCGCAAGTCTATCTGTGGTCGGAATTTTTCTTGTATCAAAGGATTTTTGTATGGTCCAACTTCGGCTTAAACCTTGAGTGAGTACATTCCTAACTTCAAATGAAGTGAAGTGATCGTATAGTCCAGATTTCAACAGAATCATAGGTATCTTATAGTAGATATTTGGACTTACTCCTTCCTTACTGCTTCCTTATTATAGATTTGATTTCAATTGTGGATCTCCAAGTATTTCGCTTTAATGTGCAAACCTTATTATAGTCCCGATTTTCCTTCAGTCGTAGATCTTACGATTAAAGCAAATTGTGTGAAATGTTTTCATTAAAAAAGTTCTGACCAAAATTTTGTTCACTAAAAAGATTTAACTCCAAAAATATATATATTCCCTTTTCAGCTACTGCCACGTTTATCGACCAGTGTTATGCTAGAATTGGAACGAATACTAGAGAATAAACCGGTGCGACCGCCGATGATATCAACACTGGCACTTCGGTGACAATCAGCATGCCCTCAGGGGCCTCCTAGCCTTAGTGGCGGTGTCGCTGGCGGCAGTGGCATTGGTCCCTGTGGGCAAGACTCACCCAAAAATGATGAAGTGGCAGCATTTTGCGGTGAGGATGGCGATGCTAAAGATGCCTCTAAACAAGGCTTTTGCGTTATTCAGTGACGAAAGGAGTCCTTAGATATTGATAATAAATTTATAAAAGCAATTAGTAGTAAAACTAGTTTAAGTAGTACCACAATGACAACAACAATAAGTAAACATGATTTACAACAACAGCAACAACTACAGCAGCAACAACAACAGCAATTAATGCTCATACAGCAACAACAACAGCAATTATTGCAATTACAACAGCAGCAGCAACAGCGTTTTTCTCAAAATACTACATACAGTTTGGACAATACAATCACAGCATCAGTGGGTTCAGTGGCCACTGCGGCCACTCAACGACTAGATAGTATAACAACAACAACTTTACCCAATACCATACAAATCGATACATTAAATAATAATTTAGAAAATGATTTCAATACCACATTAACCTTGCGTTCACACGCCCACAATAATAACAATGGTGATGTGGGCGAGGCCCCACCCCCTAAGATACCCAAAAAGCGTTCTCTTTTAAATTTTAAATCTTTCGATTTTCATATTAAATCTTTATATAGTGGTTTACGTAATGGTTCTTCCAATCAAAATAAATCCCATTCACAATCTACCAATTTAATGGCGGCCGATGGTGGTGGGGATCGTGGTGTCGAGGGTGTGGGAAAAATTTTAACAGCTGGCATTAATGCCAATGGTAGTGAGTTGAATATTAATGAACTGCATCAGCATATAGTACATCAACCCTATAATCGCATGCCTCCCTATTTGAAAATCGAATCGGTTGATAATGAAGAATCGGAGAATTTATTAATCGATTATCCACAATCGCCATACTCGTCACGTCGCAACAGTTCTAATGACGATAATCGTTCGAGCAGCCAACTGATACATCTCACCGGTGATGGTGGGACCGATGACCGCCATCACCTGCAACAGCCAACACCACATCGCTACGAAATGTCGCGTTCACAGGCCAGTTCTCCATCCCCGTACTATCTATCGCCGCATGCTTTTGCATCATCTTCCCAGAATATCAGACGTTCGTCTACATCGGACATAATGTCCGGTAGTAAACGCAGCGCCTCCTCGTCGACCAGCAACAGTCGACGGCCGAGTACTTCGGATCTATTGCGTAAGGCACGAGAACGTCGTGGTAGTGAGAATCGTATGGGACGCAGTGTTTCGCATGGCGGTTTGCCGCGTGGTGGCGGTAGTGGTGGTGGTGGAGGAGCTTTTCGTGTGGGACCCGGTGTAGGTGGTCGACGTACGAGTATGGCATTCTAATACTTCCTATCCCATCACTCTCTGTATCTCACTCCCTCTCCCGTTTAACCACTCCAAACTGTTATAAAGAAATGTAGTATCTATATTGAAATTTAAAAAAGAAAATCCATTAAACTTTTGAGAAAAACATAACTTTTTTGTCAAAAACAAGAATATTAGTCATAAATAATTACAACAACAATATACTCGTAATATTTGAAAATCCCCAAAAAAAAAGGTAAGATTAAAAACTTACAAAATAAAGTGCTTATGATTCGTTTATTTTTTATTCAATAAAAAACAAATATTTCAAAAAAATTATTATAATAAAAATTTAGTCAAATTTATATAAAAAATACGAAGCATTAATAAAAAAAATTAATAAAAAAACTTCTTCTTAAGCTTTAAAAGTAATTAATGAAATAAATTAATAAAATTAAAAAAAAATAATAAAACAAAATTTTTTGTAGTTAAGTAAGTTTAAAAACAAACTTTAAAAATTTGTAAAACTTAAATTATAAAAAAGGTAATAAAAAAAATTATAAAATTTCCAAAAAAAATATATAAAAATTTCTTAAAAAAAGAAACATATAGTTGTTTAGACCTTTATATTTAAACAAAAAAAAAAAAGAAACTCAATCATATAATTAGTTTCGTTTCATTTTATCTCCTAAAAACTAAAAGCTTTCAAGACAATATTCATTCTTACATATTTATACATACATACTTACATATACTCGTATAATCTCTCCCCCTCCCCCTTTTAAACTTTATATACAATCAAAATTAACCATTTACATAATTTTCAAAATATATTAAAACTATATTAAACAAAAATAAAAAAAAATTATTGAGATAAAACTACTAAATAAGATGCTTAGCATTCCGAATATTTTATAGAGTTCAATACATCATTGAAAAAAGCTATAAAAGCAGTTATTTTATTTTCTAAAGTTGTATTTATGTTGCAATTTAAGAATTTTCAATTGAGGTTTTGAAATATTATTGTAATTTTTATAAACGTACTAGCTGTTCGTGGACCCTTCACCGGAATACTTTTCACGACTCACGGAAAGTTTGACCAATTAGTTGAAGTACTTATATAGTGAGTTTATCGATTAGGAACAAACACTACTCATTTATTTACGTATATTTACATATATAGATATAT